TCTAGTATTGAACTGATTTTAGAATTTTGATCAAGTAGTTTCCAATAATCATCAAGTTTAATAACAATAGCTGTTGCTATTAATGATTGTGTAGTTGGTGGATCAATACCAATTTTCTCATTCAATCCCTTAATAATTGTTGAAAATGTTAATCGGAGGTCACCAAGAGTGGGATAACTAGATCCTGACAAAAGTTCTGTTGCCAAAAAAATGGGCTCCAATAAATTATATGTATTCTATATTGTGAACAAATTTACCAGAATAAGTATCTAATTAAAATATAAAATAATTGCAAAAAATTTAATACAAAAAATCTTTTTACATACTTTAATGTCATTCCATTCTTCTTCATTTGGATAAATTTGTAGAAGTGTTCTGTTCCCAGCTATTAAAATATCAACCATATCTTTTATCCTCAACATCTTTTTTATCATGTTGTATAATGAATTCCATCTGGTTGATATGTCCAAATCAGGAATTAAAAATTTTTGGTTTTTCATTTCAAATATAGTTTTAAGTTCTTCTAAAATAGGCTGTGAATTTTGAATACTGCTAGCGGTTTTACGTAATTTTTCAATTGGTTGGTCAATTAATTTTATTCCCTCTTTAACTGCAAGGTTCAACACATGAGCACCACATCTGAGATGCATAAAATCCTTATTGTTGTATTTTTGAATTGAATTAAATAATTATTTAAGTGTTCTGCTAAACTAACCATGTTTGACCCGTTGTCAGTAGTCATTGCCAAAACTTTCTTGCAAAGTGAAAACTCTTCTAAAGTATCTAAAATTTTATTTGCTAAATAGACCCCAGTGTGGCTTTCATTAAGAGGTATAAAATTAAGTAATATTTTTTTCATTCTCCAACTGTCATCAATCCAATGAGCTGTGATGCCTAGATACCCTTGATTTGTAGTTGTTGAAGTCCAGGCATCTGTTGTGAGAGATACCCTATGTGAAAAATCATTAAACATTTTTTTAATGACAATTTTTTGTTTCTTAAAAATTGATTCAATCCAACTTGAAATTGTTTGATGGCAAGGTAACCTATAACATGAATCAAGTTCAGATACCAAATCAACAAAACATTTATCTTCAACAACATCAAAGGGTTGTTGATCGAAAATTATCCATTTTATTAACTTATCATTGATTTTTTTTAATTTTAAATCTTCTTTTTTATATGGATCACTTATTGGAAAATTAAGTGTTGTTTGGTGTTGTTGTTGATAAATATCTTTATGATATTTTTCAAAATGTCATTTTATTGTGCTAATTCCAGTTACTTTTCCAAACCTAACTTTGCAAAAAGTGCACTCTACAGAACCATTTTCAAGATTTTTCAAGTATTGACAAACAAAATGTTGTAGATGTTGATGTAGATGTTGATGTTGATGTTGATGTTGATGTTGGTGTTGGTGTTGATGTTGATGTTGATGTTGAAGGTGAAAATGGGGGTGGAGGTGGAGATGATCTTGAATATAAAAATTGAATATCATCATTATTACAAAAGTCTTGTTCATTGTTAAATTCATTGTCATTGAATTCATTATCATTGAATTCATTATTATTAAATTCATTATTATTAAACTCATTATTATTAAATTCATTATTATTAAATTCTTTATTATTAAATTCATTATTATTAAATTCATTATTGAATCCATCTCTATTTGTAAATGATGACATTTCATTTAATTATATTAATATAATTGTATTATTATTTATTATTAATTACTATGCTAATAAAAATGTATATGAATAAATTGGCAAATGAATTAAATGAATGGGCGAATGAATGAATAAAGAAAGAATTCAATAAAAAGTGTAGTTGGTTAATTATTTGGCAAATGAAAAAATCAATATTATGACAATTTTCAAAACTACTACTACTATTACTAATATTATTACTAATATTATTACTATTATTATTATTAATGATTGAATATTTGAATAATGATTGAATATAATGATAAAAAATTTATTATTTGCATTGGTTTTTTGGACCCTTTTTTCAAACCTTATTGTCGTACTGAATTTTTGAGGTTCAAACAAAATCAGCGCATAAGGTTACACAGTGACCTTTTAGGACTTTAAGTCCCAAATGGCGGGACTGGACCTGAAAAAGTCTGGTCCGGGACTGTTCAGGACCCGGTCCCAAAAGGACTGATTAACATCCCTAGTTTTGTAGACTTCATAGATCTCGACTACTTTAATACTTACTTTGATCAAACCCGTCTATATAATTATTTGAATAATTGATAATAATAAAACGTTGATAAATGTATTTTATCAAACAGCTTCATAGATCTCGACTACTTTAATACTTACTTTGATCAAACCTGCCTATACAATTATTGAATAATTGATAAACATTTGTTTTGTAAACTTCATAGATCTTGACTTTGACCCTTGCTTCGATCAAACCCGCCTATATAATTATTTGAATAATTGATAATAATAAAACGTTGATAAATTTATTTTACAAACAGCTTCATAGATCTCGACTACTTTATACTTACTTCGATCAAACCTGCCTATATAATTATTGAATAATTGATGATAATAAAACATTAATTAAATACATTTTACAAACAGCTTCATACATCTCGACTTTAAGACTTACTTTGATCAAACCCGCCTATAATAATAAACGTTCATTTTGGAAACTTGATTTGCAAATAGATCTTGACTTTAACACTTGCTTCGACCAGGCCCGCCTATATAATTATTTGAATAATTGATAAAGCGCTCATTAAATATATTTTACAACCAGATTCATAGATCTTGACTTTTAACACTTATTTAGATACAAGCTATTCAATAATTGATCAGTATATTTTACAAACTTGCTTTGGCAGCTTCGTATGTCATCATACATCTTGTATTTAACAGTCTACTTTTGAATTTATTTTTTTTAGATTACACAATAAAAATTATGGAATAAATTTAATCCAATGAAATGGTTAGTATCCCATATTTTGCACAACTTGAAAAAAAGTTGATATATAAGTCATAGAATTTGTATAATAGTATTGGTCAGGGAAAAGTCATGCAATGGCAAAGTACCATGTAAGACCCCCTGTGTCCAGCTCCCTTAGGTGCAATGCCTCACTTTGGACTGGCTGTAAAGTCCCGTGTAGTGTTCCTATGAACCGAACTGAACTTCAGGCCATGTTCAAGTTCGGTTCATCAAAACTCAGTTCAGGTTCAGTTCGGTTCAATAAAGCAAAGTTCAGTTCAAGTTCAGTTCAAATTTAAAATTTTCAGTTCAGGTTCAGTCCAAGTTCGGTTCAAAGTTCATGAACAAGTTCAAAGTTCAATCATGTGATGTCATTAATTAATAAAAGAAGTGCAAAGTGCAAAGCACATATAAAAAAATATAAAGAGGTAATGATGACAATAATGATTATGATGATTATGATTATGATTATGATTATGATTATGATGATAGTGATGCTGATGATGTTGTTGGTAATGATTCTAATAGCATTAACAGCAATACAAATACAATATCTGAATCAGAGAATTAGGAATTCAAAAATTTTTTTATAACATAAACAATAATAATTTCTTTTTGAATTAACACATAGTATATACAATTTCATCTCTAACAATAACCAACAATTTTTATACAACCAATTTTTTATACTAATAAAAAATAATGAATAAATTAAAATTACCTAATGAAATTTTAATTTTGGTGAAATTTAAATGCAAAGTAATTTAATGATATGACTTGCTTTATTTGCTTGAATAAATTCCCAACTTCTCCTTCAAAGGCCCCTGCATCCATGATTTAAGACATTGTCCTGCTCTTACAGTCTTTGGTGCCAACTTACATCTTTTATCTGTGATCATATTTTTACTTGAAGAAAAGAGGCGTTCAGAGGAAGTGGAGGTTGCAGGAATTGAAAGATAGTCACGGGCTATACAAGCAAGATGAGGAAACTGTTTCTGATGGGCCTACATATGCTTATATATTCAGCACTTTCAATTAACTTGTCAACTTCTTCTTTTGTTTCAATAAAAACTTGATCAAGCAATTCATT